AGAGGGGCTAATGCTAGGGTAACAGAGCTGAAGTACCCAGATTGACCTTGAACTCTGTGCTCGATAAACTGTATGGCTTCAGAACAGGACTACTTTGAAATAGATTAAATGAGGAATTGATATACATTATTTACATTATTCGGACTATTGTCCTCATCTTTGTCGCCATATTTATCACAATGTTTCGGCAAATTGTACACTCCGGCCTTCTTCAGATGGTTGGAATGTCGAACTGAACCCTTTATTTCGCTCACTGGGGTAGACTGTTCTAGTTCCATGTGCCATGTTTGACGGATGTCAGTTATCAGTTATCTCCTGCTAATTTCCATCTGACAGTTCTCCACTGCCTTAACCAGGTATTGAACTCATACTCTTTGGGTCCTGTCACTGGATCTAACCAACGCCTTTATCCACTGTGTCATGTGTCCTTGAGGACACATGGCACAGTGGATAAAGGCTGAAACGTTGTGATAAATATGGCGACAAAGATGAGGATAATAGTCTGAATAATGTAAATAATGTACATAATACCTCATCTCAGAAATATAGACAGACTCTGAGGAATTGATATGTGTTGAAGTTTTCCAATCACCTGAAGAAGGCTGGAGAATACAATGGCTGAAACAGTGTGAATATGACAATAAAGATGAGGACAATAGTCCGAATTATATAAATAATAGAGTAGTCATGTCTGTGGGAATTTTTCAATTTACAAAATAAATAGGCATGCTCGTTCATATGACTGTTCTGCCGGGAATTTTTATGTAAGTTATCAGCTGACCAGTACCAGTCCAGATACTTTTTGATCAAACCTCATGTATCCCACTGAGAAGTAATTCCAAGAGGGTTCGTCTACGAAACTATAGAGTCGTGATGCTGAAGATAACATCAGGAAAATGTACCAATTGCAGGAATTAAACCTGCATCCACTTTTTTTTTTTTTTTTCTGAGATGCCACTTTTTAACCAAGCATGCTGTTTGGACCATAAAGGTCCTTACAGCAAGGCAAGACCATATTTAAGAGATGCACGTCTCTTGTTGTGTCATTTTAGTTTCTACAGCTGATAACTTAGATAAAAATTCCCAGCAGGACAGCCATATGAACGAGCATGCATATTTATTTTGTAAGTTGAAAAATTCCCACAGACATAACTACTCTATTATTTACATTGTTGTCCTCATCTTTATTGCCATGTTCACAATGTTTCAGCCATTGTATGCTCCAGCCTTCTTCAGGTGATTGGAATTTTGAACTGAACCCTTTATTTCATCCACCAAGGTAGATTGTTCTAGTTCCACGTGCCATGCCTCTCCCTTTAACTCAACTCTCCAAGTATTTTTTTCACCACTACAGTAACTGGTTATTGAACTCTCCACTCTTTGGGTAAAGTCACTGGATCCACCCACTGCTCTTGTCCAATGAGCCCAGAAGACAGTAAATAACAATGGACACTGCATTTTGAAGGTCAAAGTTGGATGGTAAGTAAGATGATGGAAGAGAGTTCCACAGGCGAGAAATGTGTGAAAAGAAACTGTTAGCAAAGAACTTTCAGTTACATTTAGCCAATTGCAGTTAAATTCACATAATCTAGGTACCATGGCAAAAAGTTTATCCGAACAGTTGCCATGAAAGAATTTATAGAAAAGGCACAGGGAAGATACATTACAGCAATGTGAAAGTGACTGATGATGAGAGACCAGGACAGAACCAATAATATTGCAGATTCTTTTTCAGATTCTATCAAGAATCACTAAATATATACCAGGAGCACCAGACCATTTGTGGCAGTAATATTCAATGCATGGAAGAATGGTAAACTTATGAATATGTAAGATACAGTCTGGAGAGAAAAATTTTCTAGCACAACAAAGTGAACCAACTTTTTTAGCAACTGACATAGCAATGGATTCAATATAATCTTTCCACTTCATGTCAGCTGAGACTATTAGCCTGAGAAGGTGCAACAAATCACTTTCCTGGAGGTTAGCATCAGCCATGTTGATGGAAGGTAGAATGGGTTCTCTCAAATGATTATTAGAAAGTGCTTTTGTTTTTTTCCATACCTCTCGAATTTCTTCTTCCATTAATGGTTCCATTTGGTAGTTAGTGTCCGCTCGAGAAGCCGTCATATGATTTTGCATTCGAATTTGAGATAAAAGTTCATTCAGTCGCCCCTAAAATAAAAATACAAGACATTTATTTAAAAAAATAAAATCAACATTCATTTTCTGTCAGAGATTTAAAAGCTTCATTCAATCTTGAACATCAAATGAAATTACTATGTGGTCAACACCAAAGTCTTGGAAAGAGCCAATGGTCAAAAGCATCAAATCGCTGGTAATTAAACAATGATGGTCAGGAGATATAGTAAAAATGGAAGAGTCAAGGTTTTCATGTCAAGTCAGTGAACTCACTTCAGGAAAAAAAGACGACGGGGATGTCATCTTTGAAAGAAGAAGTCAAAGGACAAAAGAGAAAAGGAAGAAGTCAAAGGACAAAAGAGAAAAGGAAGAAGTCAAAGGACAAAAGAGAAAAGGAAGAAGTCAAAGGACAAAAGAAAAAGGAAGAAGTCAAAGGACAAAAGAAAAAGGAAGAAGTCAAAGGACAAAAAGAAAAAGGAAGAAGTCAAAGGACAAAAGACAAAAGGAAGGAAGAAGTCAAAGGACAAAAGAGAAAAGGAAGAAGTCAAAGGACAAAAGAGAAAAGGAAGAAGTCAAAGGACAAAAGAGAAAAGGAAGAAGTCAAAGGACAAAAGAGAAAAGGAAGAAGTCAAAGGACAAAAGAGAAAAGGAAGAAGTCAAAGGACAAAAGAGAAAAGGAAGAAGTCAAAGGACAAAAGAGAAAAGGAAGAAGTCAAAGGACAAAAGAGAAAAGGAAGAAGTCAAAGAACAAAAGAGAAAAGGAAGAAGTCAAAGAACAAAAGAGAAAAAGGCTCAACAAAATCAACTTCATCCTCCACCAACATTATTATTATGCAATCAATGCTATCAGATCTTCCATGCAAGAATCGATCTACTTAGTCATTAACACCATCATCCTGAAGGAAGCGATCAGCAAAGAAGAAATTAAATTCTTGGATACGAGATAAAGCTGACGATGATATATATATTTAAAATTTATTTTTGTTTAGCAGTGATGATCATTGATGACAAAGAAAAAGAATAAATAACAATGAAACTATTTGTATACAATCCATTGCTAAAGATGCAGGAAAAATGGTCACTTCCTTATACTAATTTCAGTTAAGTACCAGACTCCTACTATGCTCTATCTTTACAAGAGTCAGATCAGGCTAAAAAATGGAGTACCTGGGCTGGAGCTGCACAATCCTCAAAATCCAGCCATAATAGGGTTCAGCAGTGTTTACGCTGCTTTATTCAATTCATGAAGCTAGATTGTGCCCATTTTTTTTTCAATGATTAAAGGGCAATAACTCTTATCAGTTATTAGCCCCTACCAGTCCTAACCCCCCCCCCCCACCTCAATGTTACTTTTCGATCTCTCACACTGAATCAGAGTAAATGGCCTTTTCAGCCCTACCAGACATATGTGACCTTGTGGATTAACGTGTTGGTTAAAATATATCATGTGACGAAACACATGACTTACCTCAGAATTCAAAACGAGCGCAAACGTGTCTTGCTTGCAAAGTAATGACAAAAAGAAATATGGCCACTATTGAAGACACAATTTATGCACGCCTATCTTGTCCAAAACAAGATGATATTTGCACACATGCAAATTTCGACCGTATTAGAACAGCATAAAAAGCGGGTGCCAGAAGCATAGGGGGATCAGAAGTCATTCGACAGACTGCTTGCAATAGAGCTGGGCGTACGAATTGACAGACGAACAAAGAGGAAGCCAAAGTAGGTGCAGCTCAGTTTGGTGTCCGTTTCACAACTACCCAGTGTAACGGCTGAGAAAGAGAGTCACACAATCCATTTCCTTGAGGTGACCGAAGAAGAAGAAAAAACAGCTGGCCTGCCAGCAAATACTGCATATTTTTTAAACAAAAGCTGCAGACAGTAGGGCTTTATTTGTCCAAGACTCTCTCTCAAAGAGGTGCCGTCACTTCCCATGTCTTTTCTACACTTTCACAGTAACTGCTCCGACAAGCTATTTTCACTATTTTCCAAATTCTAAGAATTTAAAAGTGCCACTAGTTCTGTATCTTGGTATCTCGGTCCAACCCTTTCACTGTCAAAATGGTTAAATGTAGCCATCTCTTCTACTCCAACAGCTTCATGTCTTGCACTTCCCATCTGTGGAACTCCCTTCCTCTTACTTGCCTCCCTGATAGCTATAATCTCCAACTGTTCCAATGCAATATCAATCGACATCTCCAAATGCCTTGATCTATTCCCTGTCCTTCTCTTCATCCATTCCTCTATCACACCTCTTTACTCTTGCTCCCACTCTCTGTAACCCCTTGCATGCTAGTGGCACTCCCCCTGCATCGCCTGGGGTGAAAAGTTTTAAAAAAAAAAAAAAAAAAAAAAAGCACCAAAATAAATTTTATTATTTTCTACCTTGAATTGTGTCGGGTGGTTCAACTCTGACTGAAGGGCCTCCAACTGGGCACGAAACTGTTCCTCTGTATCTTGCATAGCCACACCCAATTTCCGATACACCTCCTGTTTAGCTATTACCTGGAAAAGAACATATCAATATCAAGAGATTAAATAATGGGCATCATCAGATTACAGAATGCCTATTTATAAAGCAATGGTTGCGAGTGCAGTGGGGATCCAACTTAGTAGGACGAGTATTCCTTACCTTAAGCAACCTGTGTCCTAAGTTGAGATGTTTGCGTTTAGCCTCCTCAACACGAGCAATTGTATTTCGATGCTTGTTTTGCAATTCATTCAATTCTTGAGCAATCAGCTGGAGAAAAAAAAAAAAAGAGGGAAATCAATCAATCCACTGAGGCTGAGAGGCTGAGAGGATTAAAACGTTCAGTTAAAATATATCTGGTTTCCAGGCAATTGTGAGTTCAGTGCCTGGGTCAAGTAGTACTGAAAAGGTAATAATTTTTTTTTTAAACTATGGCACATATATAGACATGTTATGTGAGTATGTGTGTGTATAAGATTTTGAGAGGAAGGGCTTCTTGATTGGGATATATGTATATATATGTATATATGTGTGTGTGTGTGTGTGTGTGTGTAAAACATATCATGGCATAGCCACACGTATCCCCTTCTCAACTTAAGTTTTGAAAATCAGAACTGTGAAACTGCTTTAGTTACACTAAATATTCTTAAAGACTCCAGTATTCAACTTCTTTTTCTTATATTTTTTTACCTGTGTGAGAAAAAAAAATTACTTTATATATATATATATATATATATATATATATATATATATATATATAATCCGTGTTCTTAAAGATATTTTATTTTTTACAAAATAGTGCTCAATGTAAATTTACAGAGCATTAATATTATGAATTGATTCATTTAAAATATGTTTTTTTTTGCTACGCAGTTCTAACCATGTTTCAAAAATGGAAAACTTTTTTGAAACCTGGTTAGAACTGTGTAGCGAAAAAACCATATTTTAAATAAATCAATTTATTATATATATATATATATATATATATATATATATCAAAGTATATAATTGGTATATACGGAATGAATTCCAATAACCAACAATTACTATTCTTAAAAGAGTGCTCAATACAAAGTAGAGCAGATATAATTATTTTTTATAAAAAATTATAACATAAGTATGTTATAAGATCACTACAAAAATAGCCATTTTGTTTCAACACATTCTGTGTCTTCTCAAGTGATGATGTTGAAAAGAAAATAAATGGTTTTAAAAAGTTTCAGATTAATTAACGATCCTACACTAGGGGGAGCATTGTTACAAAAGCTAGAATAACCAATCAAAAACGAAGTATAGAAAGATTCAAAAGCTTGACAACGAAATCCTGCTATAATAGCTATTCAGATCTTTAAATACGTGTAATATTAAAAATAATTTATACTAACTAATAATTATAAAATCATATGATAAAATTTAATATTAAAATTAAAAACTGGTAATTTTAAAATCCAAATTTAATCACTATTAAGTTTAAAAACTACAAAATTATTGAAAAAAAAAAATATATATGTTTATTCAATTCATTTCTTCATTGAAATTATGTCATTTGATAAATATATCCGGTCATTTGATAATATGTATATATTTTTTTTTTTTTTTTCCCTTTCATTTCCGTTTTTATTTTAAAGTTTGTGGATGTGGTCTTAAACTCACGTGTCAAGACAACAAAAACACAATCAGATTATAATACATAAGCACCCAGACATAATTAGATATACACACACACACACACACATACAAACACACACACATACATACATACACACTAAAAAGAAAAAAAAAAAAAAAAGGAGGAGGTGGGGGGGAAAAATGAACATCACTACAGCCCTTTATGAAAAAAGGGAGACGTGGAAATTAACACTAATACACACACACAGTGAATACACTCTACATACACATAGACACTGATAGATACACATACATACATCCACAGACAATGACAGACAATGAGAAATCACAACCAATAAATATTTCAGACTTAAATAAATGCTAACCACTTATTGAATTATAACTTAAGGGAGCAAATATACAAAGATAAAAATGTTTAAAAATAATATTATTTAATATATTAAAACGAAAATTCTAAAACCATAAATATCAATAAAAATATATATTAATCATATAAGTTGATAATAGTTTCATTATATATTAGGCAAAAGAAAAAACAGTATACAGAAACACACACAACTATATATATATATATATATATATATATATATATATATATATATATATATATATATATATATATATATATATATAAAAAAAAACAAATTAACACACATAAATATACACTCATACATACATATACATATATATTTACATACAAAATGCATACAAATAAATATATAAACATAAACATATACGCACATATACATATCTATGATAACAAGTACACATGCACGCACATATACATATAAACCTAAATACACCCACATATATACACACAAACTTTTATGCACACATACTTACATATATAAAAAAAAACAGTCATGATATACCAAAGTTTCCATACCCCACATACACAAAACAAACTCATACATAATAGGTGCCAACACACACACATATATATATATACACATAAACATACATAAATATATATACACACATACATACATATCTACAAATAAACATATATATAAAAATATCTATCTACAATAACAACTAACCATATACACATGCATACATAAAAATACAACAACACTCAACCAAATACATACATAAACGTACTAACATATAGATACATAAATATACCTTCAAAACCAACACACACCAATATACATATAGTCTAACATACAAATATATAAACACAATCATACAGACAGAAATATACTTAAATATAGATACACATACACAATAAAATAGGACATACAGATATATATATATATACACACATATATATATATACATACACACACACACACAGACATATATATATACAAATATATAGTGGCGTAAAAAGCCGAAATTAGGAGGCACTCAGTGAGGAACTAATTCATCACTCAGTCGCACCCAATCCCGTGAACCATGCTGGCCAACCATTATACTGCCGTGATTTTATCATACATATACATATATATATTTATACATATACACACACACACACATACATACATATACACATACATACATATATATACATGCATATATATATATATACATATATATATATATATACACACACACACATATATATATATATATATATACACATACATATATATATATATTTACATATATACATACATACATATACACACACCCCCATACACACGTACATATATAGGCACACACGTACATATATAGCGCAACAATTATTAACCTCTTCTCTTATCATCTACCATACCTTCCCACCTAATATATATACATATATACACACATACTCACATATATATACACATACACACACACACCCACACATATATATATATTTATAAAAAAAAAAAAAAAAAACAATAAAAACACATACACCAACCTACACATTCCTCAGTGCCAATACTCTAACCAACACATAAATAAATATATACACATTTGCACCAACACTAATAACACTATGCAGGTATACAATACACACTTATATCGTAAGTATGACCATCATGCAATAAAAACACTAATCTATTAAAAATACAGCGACATATCATTATCATTTAAAGTATACGACCCCTACACTAAGTTAAATTTATAACGGTGTTTACAATTTACTGTAAGTTCATATCTTTGATTTCAGAGATCAGCCTTGTTTTTTAAATCTAATAATTTCAAATTTTCATTAAGGCATAGGTAACATGGGGTATATAGGGAGTTACATGTACGAGCTTTCTTAACCAAACTCCATTTAACCGTAGGTGTTTTGTTCTTATCTTTTAGATTCCAAAATACTTGGATAATGAAGTCATGTACCTATATTCACTGTGATTAAAGGATTGCATATGCCCCCGCCAGCGTTCCTTGAATGTTTTCATGGTAGAACCAATGTAAAACTTCTTTATATTTGGATTTTCAATTGTTGAAATAGTACCAAGATAGACTACAGAAGTAATTCCACAGTTAGTTTGTAGTGGACAATTATTCGATTCCTACAATTACATAAGTTGTTATTAGTATTCTTATAATTAGTATTGCAGTTAGTAACCTGTTGATTAGTCAAGCCTTTTGAACTCCTATACTTGTTAAAGACTATGTTGTTATGTTTTTTTTAATTATCTGCTCCAGGTTATCAGCACAACTATAGCTTAATTTAAAGGGTATTAGGATTAAATATTTTACTAAGTGGGTTAGTTTCAGGGTTGGGGAAATGTTTTTGATTAGGTTTTAAAAATATACGCCCTAATTTAGTTTTGACCATAACATTAAAAGGGGGTGAACCAAATAATCTTTCTAGATCTTCTTTTCTTATTATGGTTGCAATTAACAGGGTTTTTATATTGAATAGTGGTATTTTTGTATCCACTATTTTTTAGTGCAGAATTATAAAAATCACTATGTTTATTGAAAACCTCCTTATTATAAGAGTTAGCGCTAATTCTAAATTCAATGGAAGAGGGTATATGTTTGATAACCGAAGGGGATGGTTGGAATTAGGATGAACTTAATCCATTTCATAATATATATATATATATATATATATATATATATATATATATATATTATGAAATGGATTAAGTTCAACAATTACTTAATATATTTTCTACTTATTAATTATTTTTAATAGATACAATTTATTTAAGTTAATGCTCTGTTTTTTAATTAAACAGTATTAATTACATTTACTGACCTGAATATTCAAGAAATTTCAGAGAAAATATATGCTTCTCTGACAGGTATTGAACCCGAATCCTATACATAAATGTCAATTGATCTGATGTGCCATACCACTCAGCTACAGAGAAAGCATCTGGTTAGCAAAGACTGAATTACTGTTTATAAACAACAAATCTTTAATGATCTTTCCCGAACGATTGTATCTGCTCATAAAGATTTGTTGGTTATAAACAGTAATATGGACTTTGCTAACCAGACACTTTCTCTGTAACTGAGTGGTATAGCACATCAAATCAATTGACAGTTCCATATAGGACACAGGTTTGATTCCTGTAGGAGAACACATATTTTCTACAAAATTTCTCAAACATTCAGGGTGGTAAATGTAATCAGTACTGTTTAATTAAAAAACAGAACATTTAAATAAATAGTTTCTATTAAAAATAACATAGAAACAGATTTTATATATATATATATATATATATATAAAGACAGAGAAAAATAATGAGTCACAGCTTAAGTTTAAAATAACCTGGAACTTAAAACATAAAATGAACTGAGTGCTTAATGCCAAAATCATGTGCTTAAATATAATAATCTTACAATGATGAGTAATGAATTAACATTATTGTATGTATCTGTCTATATTCCTGAGATGAGGTGTTATGTACACTATTTACATTATTCAAACTATTGTCCTCATCTTTGTCACCATATTCATTACAATGTATCGGCCCTTGTATGCTCTGGCCTTCTTCAGGTGGCTGACCACATATGGAGAGAGAAGGGAGAGCACCGCCCTCTGTGGGATCAGGTTGAGATCATAGACAAAGAACACCATTGGAAAATTCGTAAACTTAAGGAATCAGCACATATGCTAGGCCACAAAAATCTCCTGAGCCGACCAAGCATAGAAATAAATACAATATGGGAACCAGTAATAAGGAGTGCCAGAGAAAAGCAATAATAACAGAAATTGCAATATGAGCTCTGGTAAAAACATAAAATGATAACAGCAAAAAATTGCAATATGAGCACTGTCAAAAAAGAGTTGCTGAGACATTAGGTTTATAATACCCAGAAATTCATACACAGATGTCCTCAAGGACACAGTGGATGAAGTGGATTAGATCGATCCAGTGACAGGACCCAAAGAGTGAGTTCAATACCCGGTTAAGGCAGTGGAGAACTTTCAGAGGGAAATTAACAGGAGATAACTGATATCCATTAAAACATGGCACATGGAACTAGAACAGTCTACCCCAGTGAGTGAAATAAAGGGTTCAGTTCGACATTCCAACCACCTGAAGAAGACCAGAATGTACAATACCCAAAACGTAATAAATATGGCGACAAAGATGAGGCTAATAGTCCAAATAATGTAAATAGTGTATTATTGTATGTATATATACATATCTATATATAAAATTCTGTGACTTCCATTAATCTGTCACATCCTCTAAAATAGCCATACATTGACTGATTGAAACCAAATTTTGGGGAGAAGTGGAAACAGATCTAATGATTAAAATAACAAATACTTTTTTAATAAAAATGCAATATTGTTTTCTTTGCATATTTTTTCTTTAAGTTTTTATATACAAGAATCCAGTTTCCAGTTTGTCCTGCGTTTTGAAGAACTATAAACATATCACAAGGCCAAACACTTCGAAACATAATTTAGCTCCAGAAAGAAATATGTATGCATAACCAGCTGTATGCTGCATGCTCAAGAGTAAGAAATCCTAAGAATTTATTCTTCATTGTTAAAAAGAAAAAAAATAAATTTTCTCGCAATTAAGTCTTATAAAATTAAAGAAATTATTAAACCACAAAGTAGGGTTTTTGTCGAATTATTTTTCAAAACAAATCAGTTTATTCAAATTTCATTGATTGGCTTGTGAATGAAACCTAGAGTTTGTAAATTTCGACAAAAATAGACCGAGACCTAATAGACTAAGAGAGGAAAACTGACCAATTTATATAATGATCATTTATATAATGATCATTTAAAGGCAAACCTTCTATATTGAGTCTCTTTACTACAGAGGCCATTAGACATGAATTAACACCATTTAAAAAATCAGCAATGTCTACTCAGACACATGTATCTACAAAATTTAATGTTTAAATATAAGCTAAGTTTAGAGAATCAGTCATTTAATGCCCGATAATTGCAGACTTGCAAGAAATTATTAAGAGTACTAATTCTATTAAGTTCTACTACATATTTTGGTGGCTTTTACTTTGAGTGAGATTTATGTGGGTTACAAACGTGTGTCACTGACATCAATTCGGCTTTGATGGCATTTTGTCTGTTGTTCTTGTTGTTTTAATCTCTGCTGCAATTGTTGGAATCCCACAATTGGAATTGGAACAAAGGATTCAGGATCTGGATTGTCCTTCTTAGCTTGTTGCCATAGCAATGGATCGATTCCTGCAGTGAGAGAAAAGAATTTGGTCAAGGGTCTGGAAAGAGCTTGAAATGGGGAAACGAAATGTAGAAGAAAATTTAATCAGGTCTACAGGGAAGAAAGGTGGGCGAGTAAAAAAAGAGAGTGAGGGTGAAAGAACAAAGAGTGAAGAAAGAGTGGTCAGAAAAAAAAGATTGAAAATAGCAAGAGAGAGCAGAAAGAGTGAAAGCAGGGGGGGAGAAAGAGGGAGAAACGCGAGAGGGTTTAAGAAAGGTGGGGGATAGAGGGTTAGGGTTAGAAAAGGCGGGGGAGCGAAATAGAGGGTTAGAGAGAGGCGGGGGAAATAGAGGGTTAGAGAGAGGCGGGGGCGAAATAGAGGGTTAGAGAGAGGCGGGGGAGCGAAATAGAAGGTTAGAGAAAGGGGGGGAGCGAAATAGAAGGTTAGAGAGAGGGGGGCGAAACAGAGGGTTAGAGAAAGGGGGGTCGAAATGGAAGGTTAGAGAGGGGGGGGTCGAAATAGAAGGTTAGAGAAAGGCGGGGGGGGCGAAATAGAAGGTTAGAGAAAGGCGGGGGGCGAAATAGAAGGTTAGAGAAAGGCGGGGGGGGATAGAAGGTTAATAGAAGGGTTAGAGAAAGGCGGTGGGGGCGAAATAGAAGGTTAGAGAAAGGCAGAGTGAAAGAGGAGAAAGAGAGAAAAAGAGTGCTATTAAACTATGATCCCCCTGATCGAGATTGAATTTAAAATCAAATAATAGAACTTAGTATAAAAAACAAAACAAAAAAGCTCCAAGAGAAAAAGGGAAGCAAACCTGCTGGTGGGTTTTCCAAATAAGATTTCATCTGTTCTGTATTTAGTGAACGCTTTGAGAGAATGTGTTCAACAAAGAGCGGGTTATCTTCCATTTTCTTTTTTACATTGACATTGTTAAGATCTTCTACAACTTTAGATGTTGGATAGCGTCTCATCTGCCCAGTCATTTGGCGTTCCACAATGTAGATAACCATTTCTGTCCTGAGAAAATTTAAAAAAAAAAAAAAATTACTTCCAAAAGACATATTAGCAATCGAGTGAAAAACTCAAATCAATTTCTTGTTTTAAAACTATTGAGTTCACAAAAGTTTTTACCTCTTCAAACACCAGATGTAAAATCTTCAAACACCAGATGTAAAATCCAATACACATTGAGAATCCTTTATCCAAAAACCTCCAAAATCCAAAAGATTTTCAGGTGCTGACATGACTTGCCACAAATGGAAAATTTCATGAAGCCCAGTTACATAGCATATGTTGGTGCCATTTTTTTTTTATTAGCGATCGTCACAGCAACACCTTCATTCATGTATTACTTACCAGGTCTTATCGTGCCAAGATATTCAAAATTTCAAGTCTTGTATTTATATATATTTTTGTTAAGTAGTGATCATATTTTTTTGTATTTGTACAGGAAGTACAAAACATTATTTTGACATGAAATCTTAATTTCCCCCACTTAAAAATCCGCATTAGCATTACATGACTAGCATCTTTACATGTAGTTGTATGTACATAAAATTTTTCTATAAAACTACTTTCAGGGTGTATGTTATTTCTATAAAACTACCTTCAGGGTGTATGTTATTTCTATAAAACTACCTTCAGGGTGTATGTTATTTCTATAAAACTACCTTCAGGGTGTATGTTATTTCTATAAAACTACCTTCAGGGTGTATGTTATTTCTATAAAACTAACTTCAGGGTACGTGTATAAGCTGTATTATGAACTGTAAAGGGATATCATGTTTATGCTTGGGTTCCATTCCCATGCTGATCCATTTTATAAATGCTATATACAATTTAAGTAGCCTGTATTCCAGAATTTGAAAAAACATCTGAAAACCAAGAATTTCCCAAGAATGGTCCCAAGAATTTTGGATAAAGGATTCTCAATTTGCACCAATTTTATTGCATCCCCGCTTCTGCATGCTACTAATAAAGACACTATATATATATATATATATATATATATATATATATATATAAAACAGACATTCCCAAGGTACCTTCATGTAAATATATCCTGAAACTTTTACAGGTATTGGATTGTTAATACAAGTTGAGTATCCTTTATCCAAAATACAAAAATTTTTCAGGTGCTGACATGACTTGCCTCAAATGGAAGATTTCAGAAAACAACATGGCTACCCATGATTATTACATTGCAGCAATAGAAATAAAAGGCTGAATTTTTCCATTTACATTTAACTGAAATCAGAATCCATGTTTTGTTTTTACAGAAATATTGTACCTGGATGTATTGTAACATTTTAATCAAAACACAACGTCATTGGTAGAGACTGATAGCTTACCAAATTTTCCTTCTCACTCACATTGATGTCAATTGATGATGTAACCTCCCCCCTCCAGTTTCTCAAAACTGATCTAAAAGTAGCGTTTGGTGTTGCATTTAGATATTTTTTATAAGTAGTCATCATGGTTTTATAGTACACGTACAGAAAGTAGAAAACACTATTTTTATGTGAAATCCTAATTTCACCACTTAAAACTGTATGAGAATTACATGACTAACGTCATTACCTGTTTTTGTATGTATACAAAATTTATTAAATTTTATATAAAACTAGTTTCACGGTATATGTTATTTATATAAAACTACTTTCACGGTATATGTTATTTATATAAAACTACCTCCAGAGTACACAGGGTGCAATGGATAAATTGTCGCCATTTTATATTTTTAATTTCATACATTTGAATTGTTTGTTTTTGATTATATCAACTGCACAGTATAAGTAGGGTCAGCATCTATAAGAAAAAGAGAAACATGACGGAATTCATTCAGCCAGAAATTTGGAAAAGGAATGCTGCACTGCTTGGCATTTGCACTGGAAGCTCCAATACAAACATCCCAGAGTGTTTGAATGTCAATCCGAGGACAGTGCAGTGGATTCAGAAAGAGTCGGATGAGTCTAATGGTGATTAGGAATGTACAGCAGCTCAGAAAACTCATTCTGATAAGAACTCCTAAATTTGTTGGTGAGGGCCTCAGGCTTAACATGGAGGACTACATCAAGAGTCTTGAGATAGTGCTGCCCTGGGTCAAGAGAGTGACTGTTGGATGACCCTATGCCTGACACACAAGCAGGAGAACGCAGTCATCACCCTTACATCTGTGCACCAAACTGCAACCCCCTTGATTATTATGTGGGGCGCAATTGAGTGACAGACCAATAAACCTCCATGTAACACCAAAGATGAACTAAAGGCAAGGATCATGGCAGCATTTTAAACAGTGATAATGTCCAGGAGTGTTGCAGGAGATTTCGAAATGATGTTTTTATTGAATAAATTTACTATTTAGTATTTCAAGATATTTTTATGTAATACATCTGTTAAGATGAGATGTCAATGGTATTTTCATTTTCGTTTTGCATAATTTAGACGACAATTTATCTATCGCATGTAGCTGCCTGCAAAAGAAAATTTTAAAAAAAATGCAATACCTAAGGTTTAAAACGAATTTTTTAAATTGAAAAATCTTTCTTAAACCTTTTAGTTTAGTTTTGATTTCAAGCTAATAGACTGAATTTAATATTTCCAACAAGCAAAATATTTTGCCATATTTCTATTTATTTGCTGTAATTTAAACTGACTGGAAGAATTTTTTTTTTTTTTTTTACTTTTTCTAAAATAGCCGATTATCTCCCTTTTCTTAGTCATCTTTTATCGTAATGTAATTCTTCCAAAAATAAAATATACTTTTCTGAAACTTTGAGGAATATTAGCTGATTGAAAGTATAATCAATCTGATTTGAAACAATTAACTTTAAGTTTAAAATATCAAAAAAAATTAATTTTTCAACCCAACAGTAGTTGCTTAAGGCATTCAAGGTTTTGACAGTTTGGTGACAAATTGATATTTATCTAAGGAAGGCTTTAAGCGTTAAAAAAAAATGTAACTGAATTAATGTGATGGCTTTCTATATATAATTTTTAAGTACTCAGTAATCTAAAACATGTAAGAAAATATTCTCTGTAATCTAATGCTTTTTTGAATTTTAAATATTTTTGGCTGTAAATTTATCACTCTTATTTTCTGATAATGTTGTGTATGGTTCACTGTATTATAGAAAATAATCATGTTTATACATATAAAAAAAGACTAAATTCTTTTAAAAATATTGGTGCATGATGATTTGTACTAAGCTTTTCAATTTATGATTAGTAAATAGTTTTTACTTAATATCAGCTAACTAGTGCAAAAAACAATTCTTGTAAAAATTCATTATTCATCGAAAAAAATTTTTTCTTAAGACAATAGTGTCCTTAATAAATCTTATTCATAAAAACATTTTCAAGCTTTTCTAATTAAATTATGTCAGTTTTATTACATTTTTTTTTATTTTACAATAGTAAGAGCAATTTTTCAGTAAATGAGCAACCGATTGAAAAAAAAAAAAAAAATTTAAGATTTTCATTCTCCAAGGAGTCCTGCTTTTAACTAAATTAAATATGAAGCAAGCAAAATTTAATTTCTCAAAATTAAGGGAAAAGAGTAAGAGATTAAAAAAAAAAAAAAAAAAAATTAATTTTAACAAGATTTTCTAAAAAAAGAAAAGAAATTTCTAAACTAATTTCATTCACTTGTGAATAAGTCCTGAAAGTTTCACTAAAATCCAACAATTTGTGAGAGAGGTTGGAAGGTGGAAAATAATAATTCCCCAACAATGATATGGAGACACTTTTGAACTCTATCAAGACTGTAAAGTGAGCTCTGGGTAGGTCCTGCCCAAATATGGCAACAGTAATCCATTTCAACCTGATCTGGTTTGGTTTGTTTTACGGTATATCAACCTCAATGGGTTATTTAATGTCAACAAAATTTTTTATTGTTGGTAATTTTTTTTTTTTTTAATCTATTTCTGGTAATATTTTTCCTACAAAAAACCTATTTCTGGTAATATTTTTTTCTTTAAATTTGTATTGCTAGTAATAATTTTTCTACAAAGTATTTCTGGTATTAAAACCTATTTTTATACTTTCATAGTGTTTTGACCCAAGTTTGGGCATTAAGTATTTGCCCATAGCTGGGACCCTAACAGGTGCTACCACCCTGGGTTAGGGTGGACCTGGGAACACCAGCAATTAAGAGATGGTTCCACGCTCCTCAAAACCTCCTGATCAGAGGCCTTGCAGTTGGATGTAGTTTATCATCTTACCCAGGACGTCGACCTGATCTGGCTCTTATAAAAGGTAGGGGATAACATGAGGAGTCAGGTACTGACTGGAGTGGTACAGGGAGCCAATCATTTTACCTGCATCATTAGTGACGGATTGTATATAGGAGTTCCACTTAAGGTTGGGTCTGAGTTTGAAGCTCAATATTCTCTCAAGGCACAGTGCCTACATCCGTTCATTGTGATTAGTGGTAGTTTGGGGGTCTGATCAGTAGCGATGGAATGTATCTAGTTTCATTTTCGAGGCAGTGAATATAACCAGCCAGTTCCCCCTCCACACTGGAAATTTAGTGCTAGATCAGAAAAGAGGTCAGCTACCAATCTCTGATCATCAGGACTTTTAGGCATGTGCACGTATAACGTCATATCATCAGCATAGATGTTTGTATCTAGTGTTGCCACAACTGTCAGTAGTATGCGGTACTTACAAATCAACTGCTCCAGATTTTGTCTGTTGCTTCCAATATCCGTTAAACGGAGGTAGAAATTAAGTTACAAGAAATGAATCTTTGACATTTTGGACAGCAAATCGAAGGGAGATAATTCTTCAATTCCAGCCATAAAAATCTATGGATTGCTATTTGTAGACAGTGTTCCTACAGGTCTGTGTCAAAAAAAATGCCAGGACTATGTTAAGAAGTCTTAAGAATTGAAACTCACACACACTCGCATACAAGTGAATAATCATCAATTTAAAAAACACTTTGTGAATTACCTTTTAATAGTTTGACTGTTGAGATGTTCAAAGAATAGTTACAACTGATTGCAATAATTCATGTCACATGGATCAGTTGAAAGCAGTAAAGAAATCAGTGTTGAATGCAGACTTGGTTATGTTACAAATTAATAAAAAAGTCAAAGAGAGAGATTATTAGAAAGAAAAAAGAAAACAAAAAATAAAGATTTTATAAGATCAGCCTATTGAATAAACAATATAATGAGAGGAAGAGGGTAGGAGAACGTGGAGAAAGAGGGTAGGAGAACGTGGAGAAAGAGGGTAGGAGAACGTGGAGAAAGAGGGTAGGAGAACGTGGAGAAAGAGGGTAGGAGAACGTGGAGAAAAGAGGGTAGGAGAAGAGAAAGAGGGTAGGAGAAAAAGAGGGTAGGAGAACGTGGAGAAAGAGGGAGAACGGGAGAAAGAGGGTGGAGAAAGAAAGGGGTAGGAGAACGTGGAGAAAGAGGGTAGGAGAACGTGGAGAAAGAGGGGGAGAGAAGAGGGTGGAGAAAGAAAGGGGTAGGAGAACGTGGAGAAAGAGGGTAGGAGAACGTGGAGAAAGAGGGTAGGAGAACGTGGAGAAAGAGGGTAGGAGAACGTGGAGAAAGAGGGTAGGAGAACGTGGAGAAAGAGGGTAGGAGAACGTGGAGAAAGAGGGTAGGAGAACGTGGAGAAAGAGGGTAGGAGAACGTGGAGGAAGGGAAAAATCGGGAGAAAACAGGGAAAATGGGGAGAGAACCGGGAGGAGAAAGGGAAAAGAAAGGGAGGAGAATGGGAAAAAAGGGAAAATCAGGAGAAAACAGGAGGGAGAAAACCGGGAAAAAAGGAAAAGCGGAGGAGAAAGGAGAATGGGAAAAAGCGGGAGGAGAATGGGAAAAAGCGGGAGGAGAATGGGAAAAAGCGGGAGGAGAATGGGAAAAAGCGGGAGGAGAATGGGAAAAAGCGGGAGGAGAATGGAGAATGAGGAATGGGAAAATGGAAAACATTTAAGTAGGAGTGAACAGAATTTAATCTATACAATATAATCAGAACCACTGTGTTCTTACTTGTTGTCCGGCCATTGTTTGATACCTTCAATACAGACAGAGAAAGTTGGCTTCCCACCAAGGATTTGGTGTAATGCATCTGTAAGGACTTTTTGGTTAGATTTTACATCAGAATAAGATTTTTTTAAGACTAGCCCAACGAATCCATCTTCATCTTTGTTCTGAGGAATGCAACTGTAGCCGATTGCCTGAAGAACAGGAGAAAAAAAAAAGCAAATTTTATTTTAGAAAATTTTACATATTTTCCCATATCTCATAAACAATGCATTTCCAATATACATATAATAGCCCTATTCTATCAGTAATGGTTGCCTTCATTCATGACCACTGACAATACATTTCTTCCTCATTTTCAATGCATTCCTGTAGTAAAATCATCAGCAATGCATTTCCATTATACATATAATAGCCCTATTCTCCTGACCACTGACAATCCCTTTCTTCCTTATTTTCAATGCATTCCTATAGTAAAATCATTAGCAATGCATTTCCATTATACATATAATAGCTCTATTCTATCAGTAATGCTTGCCTTCATTCCTGACTACTATTACTTTGACTGCCAATAATGCATCTTCCACAAGAAATGTTTACTTTGTTAATAATAAACAAATAAAAATTAAAAGTTACTTATAATGGCAAATGATTAGTGATAAGACAGTTGGTAGCAATGAGAAATAGAAATTTTTTTGATGCATTCCCAGTTCCCAGAGACACTTGTAAAATACATATTCTTTTTTAACTAATCAATTTCTTTTTTTCTTTTCTTTTTAATTAAGAAAAAATTATATATGTGTAGAAAATTAAACAATTTTCTACTGTCATGATTTTAAAAAAAAGGAAAAAAAAAAGGTGTAATCTGTTAAAAAAAAAAAAAAAAGGATAAAGTACCCAAACTAATTAAACCCTGCATTAGTCACATGGAGTGTTTTGTTAAAATTTTTAAAGTACTTGTAATTCCCAGTTGTTATCATGGGAGGCAAATGCCAAGGGTCTATTCATTTTCTGAAATCTGAGGTGATTAAAGCAGAGTTAATAAGGTAATCCATGAAGGACAAATATTTTCTTTATAAAGATTTTTGAAAGCTCAAACCCGTCAATTAAGAACAGATGAATTAATGACATTAGTAAAATTGTATTTCTCATTGCAAAAAAGAAACTGAGTTGATCGTTACGACATTAAGGTTTTCTTTATTAACCTTGTGTTAGTCACATATAGTATTTTGTTACCCTAAAATTTTTAAAGTGTTCATAATTCCTAGTTGACATCGTTTCTTTTGCTCCATCCCACTACTCTCCTGGCAGTGAGGGTGTGTAGCATGTGGTGTGGCACAGTTGTAGCTCAGTTGCTGTGGGAGGAGTCTATCCATTTATAGAATTAAAAAAAAAAAAAAATAAATAAATATTTCTGATTTTCTTCTTACCTTGAATCGACATAAGAGATTTTCAGATGTTAGATCAACAAAACCGTTGGAATCGAAATAGGCTTGTCCAGTCCCCCAATACGCTTGTAAAAGATTCCATTTGGCAATGATGGAGTCTCTCTCATCATTAAATATGTGAGGCATCATGACAGCTTTGGCCAAATTATCCAATTGATTAGCGGCTTGCTGCTGTTGCTGTTGTTGCTGGGTATCTATCAAATCAATCAAGGAATGAATGAAAGAATTAATTGCAAAAGAAAGATAAAAAAAAATGTTTCAGCCAATCTACTCTTTGGCCTTCTGCACATTTGCGTGTCTTTCAGAATCTTTGAATCCTTCCTTTTGATTATACTTTTTGTTACCACACGGTCATATTGAGTTGAAACACAAGTTCTCATCCAAACTCTGAAGTTAAGCAACATCAAGCTTGGTCAGTGGCATGGGTGACCGCTAGGGAATATCAGGTGCTGCAAGCTTGGATATGCAGGTGGTTTAAAGGATAACTGTTCAGAATTAGTTATATTCACTTACATACAACTACCTTTAAAAAAAAAGATATGAATCCACCTCTTCCCCCCAGCTATGGATTAATTAGTAAGAATTGTATCAGTAAATAATTGTTATAAGGAAAAATTGTTTCAATCTAAAAATATTTTCTGGCTTTAAATAACTCACAAAAGTTTGATAAAACATAAAAACAAATCAATCAACTGGAGTAAAGATCTATGCGTTCTTTCCTGTTTAGGATTGGGTTTCCGGTTCCTTCTAAAGTAGGTACCTCCACTAATTCACAATACCTAAGGTTTAAAATGAATTTTTAAAATCAAGAAACCTTTCTTGAGGTTTTAATTGAAAGCTAAAAAGGATTAAATTTACTATTTCCAGCAAGCAAATTACTCTGGTGTATTTCAAACAAAAATTATATTGATTGGAATCAATTTTTTTTTTTTTTTGCTAAAATAGCTGATTAGTGCCCCTTTTTAGTTGTCTTTTATTGCAATGTAATTCTCATTATTAAAAAAATCTTTCAAAAATAAAATATATTTTTCTGAAACTTTGAGGAATATTAGCTGATTTAAAGTATAATTAATCTTATTTGAAACAAATATTATTTACTTTAAATTTAAAATAACACAGAAATGTATTTTTAAACCAAACAGTAGCTGTGTTTTTAACTGACAGTAGCTATGTTTATGTGCTTGATGAGTGATGACAAGTTTATTGTTGTTCTATGGAGACTTTATCTGTAAAAAAAAAAAATAATTTAAGGAAATGATAGGAGTGCCTTTTTATGTAATTTTTAAGTACTTATTGTAATCTTAAAAATATTGGAAAATATTCTCTGTAATCTAATTTTAGGAATGTTAACTTTAAATTTACTATAGTTATCACTCTCATTTTCTGATGTCATGTATGATCAACCATACTTTCAAAAAAAAAAAAAAAAAAAAGCAAAAAAAAAAGGGTGGTACATTTATATACACAAAAAAAAGACTGGTATTAAGCTTTACTATATATAATTATATTTATATTATATATTATAATTATTATATTTTCACTTAATAAAAATAAGTTTTTCTAATTAAATTTTTTTTTAAAAAAATGGAAACAATTCTTGTAAAAATTCATTAATCATCAAAAAATATTTTTCCTTAAGACGATAATGTCTTTAATATATCTTATTTATAAAAGCAATTAAAAATTTTCCTAATTAAACAATGTTGTAGTTTTATTGCATTTTTTATTTTACAATTTGGAACAGATTTGAGATGGTGTTCCTGTTTGACAAAAACAAAATGTTTACTAAAATTCTCCAAGGACTGCTGCTTTTAACGAATATAAATATGAAGTGATTGAAATTTTAATTTGTTGAAATTTCATAAAATTAATTAAGTTGGGATAACAAATGTAAAAAGAAAAAAAAATATTTTTACTAAGATTTTCTTAAAAGAAAAAAAAAAATTTTAATTTTAAATTTTAAAAATTAAAAAAAAAAATTTTTTTTTTTAATTATTTTATTCATTTTTGAATAAGTTCTGAAAGTTTAATTAAAATCCAACAGTTATTTGAATTTTCCAAGAATTTCACCAGAAAACAAAGGCCCTAAAATATCCATAGTAATCTTTGGGACATTGCTGACACAAAAAAGAAAGAAAATAAGTTTTTTAACCAAATTTTCGAAATGTGCTAAATAAGATTTTTAAATAAAATAATCAAAAATTAAGTTTGGTGTTTCCTCATAATAATAATAATTTGATGATAAAACTTTGTTTTTAAAAAGTTTGGTCCCTTTTTTTAATTATGGTAGGTTCCTTACTAGCGAAAAAGTGGAGGTACTTGTTCTAAAGTCTTCGCATTCTCTTCCAGTAGCTTCTTAGTAGCATTATCACCTTGCATGGGGTGAAATGATTAAAAAAAAATTCATCATTCACTGCAGCAATGCAGGCAACAATAATTCATACTGCATTTTACATTAAACTTAACTTATGGTTGATTAACTTAATGACATATCAACACTTCTGGGGGTTATTTAATATTGATAAGAAGTTTTAGGTGGATGTGCAGGTGGTGTAGTGGATAGCAACTTGGAATGAGAAATCAGAGAGCCAAGTTCCAATTCCAGTTGGGTTCGTTATATTCACTTTTGTACAAATAATCTTGTGTAAAGTATAAATAAAATCCATCTTTTCTCCCTTCAATTAAATAGTAGAGGAGACAGAACTCTCTAGCTTGTTGCCAACCAGCCTAGGAGAAGGAAAAATGAATTCAAAAGCATATGTAACCTTGGCAATATAAAACAGCTACGGAAAGCATTATAGGGTTCACAATTGCAGCACAGAATTGTGGACTCAAAGACTTCTACTAAGATTGGTAACTGATAAGATAAAAAAAAATAATAATTAATAGACAGACATGAGAGTGTCTGAACTTCTGATACAAGGAGTTATCATCATTACAATACAACATCAGGACAATATAACCAACGGAGAAATCTCTGCCAAGTCATCATTCTGATAAACTTTCCTCTATGGTACCTTGTGTTTATGAATTAAAGCACTGTACTAGATTGGCAGTTAGGTCTCATCATTTTACATTTGAACTGGCTAGATGTGTGGAGTAAGTAACCATGATTGAATGCATAAGAAATAACAGAACTGTCCAACAAACAGAATTTACAATAAAAAGAAAAAAAAAAGGGGGCAGAAATGAAATAATATCAAGCAAACAAGCAAACAATATATGCAAAGCAAATTAACAGTAAGAAGGCAAAAAATTCACAAACTAAGAATTTGTGTCAACACACACAAGGAAGTTTGGACAAGCAAATACAGCAGTCTGTCTTCTAGACAAGGTAGATCTGGACTGAGTCATATGAAACTGGTCTGTTTTATTGGTTAAGAAAAATATCCCAGCATGCATTTGTATGCCTTTGCCTATAAGAGGGTAGGGGCAAGTGTTCTGCAGTCATTCCTGCTTGGATTGAAATCGACAAGATGTAAACCTAAGTTCTAGGCTAACAGCTTCTTCTCTCTCTTCGAAGATGAAATAAAATATTGTCTAAAAATACTCTCTAAAATAGACAAAGTGTCTACTCCAGTGTAAGTATTGACTAAAAATAACATTTGAAGTAATAAAAATATAATTTAATCAAGAAAATTACTTTAGTTTGAGGAAACCCTTTTAAAAGAGAAGACATTATATAGAATATTTTTCCAATTTTGTCACTCAAACAATCATTTTTCAATATTGATTTTTTTTTTCTATTTGTCATCTTGCATCCAAATTCGGACATTTCTTATGTTGTATTTAAAAAATAAATAAATAAAAAAATCTTTGCAAATGAGATATTTTCTGTACCCTTTATTTTGTCTTAAAGACTGTTCTTCCAAGATTATTGGTTGCAAAAACCTCAAAGACTGAAGAATATATTGATGAAAAGATGGCAATTGTTTCAATCACAGTAGGAATTATTCTATGAATGATTCAGTCAAGGCAGAATATTTGTTAATTCCAACTGCTGCAAAACTTTTGCCTATTCTTGGGAGAAGAGACAAAATAACACACTTACTGCCAAAAAAGCCACCTGTGCCAGCCGAACTCCCAAAAGTGGAACCGCTACTCGTTGTGTTTGTACCAAAACCTGAAAAACCAGAAAAACAGTTGAATGGAATTTGTCAAACTTGGGCAACATACAAAATTTCATTGATAAACAATTACCTAAAGAAAAGAAAAGAAAGACATTTTTAGTTCAACTATAAAGTGCCATATCCCAATATTCCCAGATAAGAATTTGCATATTTAAGCAATTATTATGCACACAAAATTGCACCTCCAGCCACTATTATAAATTATCCATGAATTTTCACCCTAGATCAACTATTATACATTAACCCTTAGGAAACAACAGGGCTGATCTATCAGCCAAAAAGTCAAATGACAAAGATGGTGACTGGGCCAATCCATAAACTGAGCTGATCCATCAGTGTGGTAATACAATCCTTGTGATTAGCTGGCTGGTCTTCATAGCAGCCAATCAGATTGCTTCTCACATTTCTTGCACATCTGAACCTTTTCAATGGCGGTTTCTGATAGTTTGCTGTGTGCTGTGATTCTATATCAATTTCTTTTGTGCTCTATGTGAGGGTTTGTGAAAAGGGCTTCATATTCTTGGCACTAAAACTCTAAATGAGGCTTTGTCTCCAAAGAGTTAACCACAAATTTGCACTCTAGATCAAATATTATACAATATATTCGCATTTGTATCATCAGAGCCAACTATTATACATTACAGACATATGTGCACCCTTGATAAATTATTAGTTTATTCAGACAATTGTTCCCATTTTGGTCTAAGTGACAATATTTTGGCCATTATACACCCTGGCTTTTCTTCACGTGCATTTGGTCATCTGGTAATTTCCGATTAAATCCATTGGGAATAGATGGTTCTTAGTCCACTAGAATTGGATTTCTGATTCCTTCTAAAGTCTACTTCAACTCTATACTTATGTCTCCACCTAAACTTTGAAATTTATACTATTTAGTTTGGTTTTTTTTCCTTAATAGAAGTAGATAGGTTCACCTATCATCCAGTTCACACCCCTCTCTGGTTTTTTGAACAGGAGTAGAGGTTTATCCCCTGAATCCTGCTTAGAATTGTGTTTCTGGTTCCTCCTAAAGTTTTCTCATTCTCTTTCACTTCCAGCAGTCCCTTGCGTCTTAGTGGCATTATCACCTTGCTTGGGGTGAACTTAAAAAAAAAAACAAAACAAAAAAAACTGCCAAGTCCATCCTTGGCTCAATGGTCAAAAAAAAGAAAACGAACAAAAAATTAAAGACACATCAAAAGGAAAACTTAATTCAGAAGCATTAACAGATATATAACAGTGAAATGAAAACAATCTACTCTCAACAATTAAATTAAATAAAAAAATCAAGTTTGAAATTCTCAAAAGCTTATACTTTATGTCCAACAGACCTCCCCCCACACTCCTCATGAACCATGCCAGGAACAAACCTGTCGCAAATTAGATTCTATGATCTCTCTCTAACTGGATTTAAGTTTCACGTGATTTTCAAATTCTTCTGATAACCAAATGCCACCTTTCGGGACCACCAACTTTCAGACATTTCAATTGCTGACCTTTCTAGCTGAATAACAAATTCTTACCAAATAACCAAAAGATAAATATATAACATTAAAACAGAAATATTAATACAAATAAAACATGTTGAATGCTTCTTCTCAGAATTTTCAAAACAAGAATATTATGACTAAGTGTTGTGTTCTAAAAAAAAAAAAAGTTACAAAGATGGTACTCAAGTGAAAGGAACAGCAACACACACATAGATGAAAGAAAGAGAGGTTTATTGCAAAAGAGAATACACTACTGAAAGACAGGGAATAGGTTAGCAAGCTAGTAATTCCCGAAGCAAGGATATCTACCAACTGCTCCACGTGGTCAGATGTGGCACAAAGCCGAATTTAATGTGGGGTATCAGAGCCTAGGCTTGGCCAAAAATTCCCCGTTTAAAACAGGTTTAGCTAGCTGTTTCCCCAAGAAGAGACTCTGCCTGAAGGCATAGTTCCTCTCTGCCCGGAGGAAGAAAGTTCAACCAGCACAGCTGGAGACGAATCTCAAACTAATTCCCGAAGCAAGTCTATTTACCTTACCTCCCCACAAGCCAGGATGTGGCACAAGGCTGTTTTTTTTTTTAATGCATAGGCAAAAAGAAGCTCAGAAACTTGGGCAAAAATTATCCGTATACATGAGGTTGGGTAGCTGTCTACCACTCCAGACAAGACTGCCCTTCAGCATAGCCTCATCTGGGTTCCTCTCTGTCTGAAGGCATAGAGTTCAACCAGCACAGCTGGAAACGTATCTCCAACTAATTTCCAAAGCAAAGTTATTTACCTCACTTCCTTGTGAGGCAGGATGTGGCACAAGGCCGTTTTTAATGTGGAGGAAAAACCGAGTACATAAACTCAGGCAAAAATTCCCCATAGACCCCATAAAAGCTGTCTAGCATCCCAGACAAGACTGCCCTTTGGCATAGCCTCGTCTGGGTTCCTCTCTGCCCAAAGGCAGACAGTTCAACTAGCTTAGCTGGAGATGAATCTTCAACTAATTGCTGAAGCAAGTTCCAGGTATGTCCTGTGCTCACTATATATAGATACTGATACAGTGAGTCCACATAGATGACAGCGAGTGTGGGATATTCCATTACAACACCTCCCCCCGAACTAATTTTTCCATGAAATTTTGCTCCATACCTTTTCTTTTTGTGGTCAGGACATAATTGTTTGACTTTTTTCCTCTTTCTACTACTTTTCTGTCTTTCCACTAAGCTAAAGACTAAAATTGTGAATTACTGGGAGTAAATTACTTGTGTTGGTTTATGATTTTGGTGACAGTAATTGTGAGTTCAGTCCCTGGGTTGGGCATTGTGTACTTGGACAGTGGAAACAGGGCAAGTAATAAGTGAGCAGTACTAAAAAAATAAGAACTAGATGAGATATTCCTAGATAAGGGCAGTAGAACAAAAACAGAATTAGTGTTTCCCAACCTATGGTCAAAGTGGGCAATTGTCAGGTGGCCCACAAAAATTTTATTTTTACTGGGCCACCAGATTAATATATCAGCCACAAAAATTTTAGGTTGAAAGTGGGCATGAGCTAAAAAAGGTTGGAAACCACTGGTTTAAATAATGATACTATGGTTGCATTACCATTTTTTTTTGGCAACTGATAGTCTGGCACCTCTTTAAATCCTGACAAACATATGAGGAACAATTTCCATAGATTAAATAAAGGGTTCACTTCCCTATAGGTTACCCAGATTAATATACACTCAATGATGGCTAAGGGGGCACATCTACCAAAACATTATGATAACAACAACAAAGATGAGGATAGTAGTCTGAATGCAAATAGTGTAAATAATAATGGCTCATCCCAGAAATTCAAAGACATTTTAAATGTTTTATTGAATCTATTATTTCAGTATGAAATAATATAACTTTTATTATTATGAAATATCATCTGTATGATGTATATCTGACTTAATTTCTTAATATATGCTTTTCTAAATTTTTTTTTTTTTTTATCTTTTCCAGATTTTTCACCTTAAAATGATTTGACCAACAAGAATTGATCATCATGTTGGATTAAATAGTTTAACTATTAGTTTAAAATTAACTTATGGATTAAAGCAGTGGCTTGTGAATTTGGTGACATAGTATTTGTGAGTTCAATCCCTGGGCCAGGCAGTGTGTACTTGGACTAAGTAGAAACAGGGCAAGCAATAACTGAGCTGGACTAAAAAATAAAAACTAGACAAGATATCCCTGGACAGTGGAATGGGAACAGTCTACCCCCACAGATTAAATAAAGTATTCGTTCAGAATTCCCTGTAAGTTACCCAGATTTGTATAAACCTGAAGGCTTTTTATTGATCGATTCATTTCCTATGGTTTATCAACCCTTTGCAAGTTATTTAAAGCCAGAAAATATTTTTAGATTCTAAAAATTTGATTGGAGATAATAATGTTTCAGTGCTACAAGTCTTACTAATTAATCCATAACTGGGGGAGAAGAGGTGGATTCATACCTAATCAGAATTTGATAAACAAACAAGAAATTATAATGGGATATAAAGTGGGGGATCAATTCTATATTACAATCAATATATAACCTGATCCTTCACTTTGTGACCATGATAGTTTTTATACATTTATATTCCAGAGAATGTAAATGATTATAAAAGACATGCCTGTGTAGCTCATCAGTATTTCATTGATTGATTGATTCGTTTTTTACGGCTTATCAACACTTTGCAGGTTATTTAGATTTTAAGATAATAATGATTTAGTGATACAAGTCTTATTAATTAACCCATAGCTGGGGGAAGAAGATGTGGATTCATACTTTTCCCTAAGAACATTTGCATGTAAGTGAATATAATGAACCCAATAGGAACTGAAACTCGGCTCTCTGATTAACAATTCTGATCTATTTCACCATCCACACTTAAAGCACCTGGTATTCCCAAGCAGTCACCCACCTGACCAGGATTAATGTTGCTTAAATTTGGTGACCATACAATGTGATGTGGCAGTAAGCCTCTTGATGAAAGCCAGAGGGCATAATGTCGGAAACATTGTGATAACAACAACAAAGATGAAGACAATAGTCCAAATGTAAATAGAATAAAAGAATGATAACTCCCCATTCCCAAACAGAAATTAGTTCTTGGAAAATTTGAGAAAAAGAATTTACCACCAAAAAAGCTGCCAGTGCCTGTAGAATTTCCGAATGAGGATGTCCCAAAAGTGGAACCCGCGCTTGTCGTGCTCGTACCAAAGCCAGTCAAGCCAGTAAATCCACCTAGAAAAAAAAAATGTTTAAAATTAATTTATTATAGCAACCATCCATGTAATGGTTAACGAGCATATCTAATGGATTGCATAGTGAATTCAGTTATTTTCTAAATGCCTACCTGGACTCACAATTAATGTCATTCTATCATTGAATGATAGAATATTGGGGGGTAGGGATGAGGGTGAAACAATACAAAATTTTTAATTAAAATTCTATTATATTTATTCTAAAAATTAAAGTTTAATTATAAAAAGAAATAATAAAAAAAAAAACTATCTTACTTTTCACCAACAGTGTTGGGCATTTAATAAACTGAGCATACAAAAAATAAACAAAATTTAAACACTTCTTTTTAAGTTGGTGAATGAAACCCAGATGAAAAATGAAGTGTGGAGGACTTAAATGTAGATATTTCTATTATTTATCTCTAAAATGTGCAAAACATTAGAATCTAATTTTATAAGCTAATTTTGAATTAATAAACAGAACAAGAAAAAATTCTTGACAATTTTTGGATAAAAATCTTGAATGAACCATTAACAACATTAACTAAATTGAAAATATATGGAGAAATTTTAAAAAAGATAAACAAACATAGAAAATTTAGTCATGACGTGAAACTGGTAAATGTAAATGAAGAAGGTTGGAACATAACTGTTGAAACATGAATATAGCAACAAATATAAAGACAACAGTCTGAACAATGTAAATCTATATCTATAATTCTCAAAATGTGTGTGTGTGATCAGATGTTGTTTATGCGTTTCCACAGTTTTCATCCAATTTCAATGAAATTTTTTTGTTTGATAGATAATTCTTCAGTGCCAGTTTTGAGTCCGAATTGGCTGAAAAAATTACAACCCTGAAGGTGAAAAATCGAAAAAAACTGATTTTTTACACTTTGTGCAAAAATCAAAACAAAATTTAATGTCTGTAAAAAAAACAGCATACAATCAATTTAGAGAATTGAAATCTAATGCAAAAGATTATTAGAATTATAAAAAAAAAAAAAATATTATAAATAAAAATTATTGTATATTACTATCATGGCGGTCCATGGAAGAGGTTTCTTCCTTGCAAGATTAAGAACGCAAAAACGACCCTTTTCAGTGGCACCCCCCTATTCATTTTGTTAACCACCTTTAGCCGTGATTACTGCAAAACAAAAGTTTCTCAAAGTAAGTTAGATAATTGATTCTTCCATTCTTTTTTTATTGACTGTAAGCTTTTTTTTTTTCCCTTTTTTTTTTCAATTCTTCTGTCAAGTTCATCCCATGATAATTCTGGGGGTTTCTTCAAACTTTTGAACTGCAGTGTGTGTGTGTGTGTGTGTGTGTGTGTGTGTGTGTGTGTGTGTGTGTGTGTAAGATCAGGAAAAACTAACATCTTTTGTGAATTTTAATGCAGATATTTTAAGTCTTATTCTAGAAAAATGATGTTTGAACTGGTAGGGTAAATATCTAAAAAAAAAAAAAAAAAAAAAAGTTTTAATATCAATAATACACTCCCCTCCTACTCAGGCTGGTCAAAATTGACCCTGGTCTGAGCAATAGAATTCTAAAAAAATTTTTAAAAAAAGAAAAAAAGAAGCTTGTTAACAGCTTCATGTTCATCAAACTGTCGCTTGATGCGTGTTTGGCTGTGAAATAAAATTTAAAAAAAATAAACAAAAATAATGATTGGTTTGGTTCGTTTTGTCTTACTGCATATCAACCCCAATTGGTTATTTAATGCTGACAAAATTTTCATTGCTGGTAATATTTTGTTTTGTCAAAAATCTATTTATGGTAATAATTTTTTTTTTATTTATTTATTTTTTTTTTTTTTTCCAAAAATGTGTCGCTGTAATAATTTTTTTCAAAAAACTATTGCTGGTAATATTTTGTTCCTCAAAAATGTATAGCTGGTAATAGTTTTTTTTTCTTCAAAAATTTATTGCTGAAAAAAAAAATTTTTTTTTTTTTTAAAAGTATTTCTAGTATTAAAATCCATTTTTACACTTTCATAGTGTTTTTTACCTCAGTTTCAGGGTTAACTATTTGCCCATAGCTGGGACTCTAACAGGTGCTACCACCCCAGGTCAGGGTGGACCTGAGAACACAGCAATTAAGAGATGGTTCCATGCTCCTGAAAACCTCCTGATCAGAGGCCTTACTGTTGGATGTAGTTTATCGTCTTACCCAGGATGTGGATGTAGTTTATGGTCATACCCAAGATGGCAAAAATAATGAGATTTTGTTTCTATTTTCTATTTCACCATATTTCTCTCTATTGATATCAGTCTATTTATACCAAACTTTCATGTAATGGCTAAGGCTTGTCTTACAGTTTTATCTGAATAGCAAGTTCAATCCTCATTTGGTGCCCCAAACTTTCAGCCATAATAAAAAATCTAAGAAGAATGTTCAGAAAATAATTTTTTGAAAAGAAAATGTCACCGGATTTCATTTATCAATATCAAAATCTATTTATATTATATTTGTTAGTACATTTGTGTCTAGGTTTCACCTTTAACAACATAGATATGAACACAATGGAAAGGTCCAATTTACTACTTATGGTAATAAAAAAAAAATTAAAAAAAATGTCACAAAAAGGAAATTCAGGTAAAAATAGGTATAAGTGAAATGAAAGAAAATGTCATGACTGATTTCTTGGAAAAAAAAACTTTATATTTTTTATATATATTATATATATATACACTAGCTTAAAAACCACACTCCATGCAAACTATTAAGCTAGTTCCTACAGAGGGCTAATTGTGCCTCTGACACAATACTAAAGAATAGAAAACAGCAATGATAATTTTGAAGAAATAACTTTAAATTCCTCAATTCACTTCATGGAACTTCAAAATTTCACTTTCACTCTGATTCTGGCTATAAGTCCAATTCAGGCCAAAAATTGAGTTCTTCAAATCACAAATACTGCAGAGTTTTTTTGTTTTTTTTTAAAACTGAATTTTAAACATATTTTTTAAATTCAGTTTTTGTGTTACTTTAAACTCAATATAAATTAAAAACTTAAAATTAGTAATTTTTCCCCGTTATTTTAAAATTTGAATTTTTAACTGTTCCTTCCTCATCAGGACACAAATCCCAATACTGGATGTTCAAGCACCAGATGAAAGGCAGATTTTCAATCCTAGGATCACCCCGATTCCAAAATGGTATAATACAGCGTGCGATGGATAAATTGTCGTCTAAATTATGCAAAAATGAAAATAACAGACATTTCACCTTAACAGATATATTTACCAAAATTACACAAAAATAGCTTGAAATACTAAAAAGTAAATTTATTCACTAAAATCGCCATTGGCTTCAGCCACCGCCTCCAGACGTCTTTGAAATCTCATGCAACTCTTCTGGACAGTCTCTTTGTTTAAGTTGGTGAATGATGCCATAATTCTTGCCTTCAGTTCATCTTTGGTGTTACAAGGAGTTTTATTGGTCTCTCACTCAACTGCACTCCACATATAATAATCAAGTGGGTTAGAGTCTGGGGAGTTAGGTGGCCAGGTGTAACGGGTGATGTGATTGCAGAAATTGTCTGACAGCCATGACTGGGTTCTCCTGCTTGTGTGGCATGGGGCGGGCAGAGTCCTGTTGATAAACAGAATTTTCCAGCAGCCACCCTCTTGACCTAGAGCAGCACTACCTCCTCAAGGCACTTGCTATAGGCGTCAGTGTTGAATCTGAAGACCTCCCCAATAAATTCAGTTCTTTTCTTATCAGAATGAGTTTTCTGAGCTGCTATACCTTTGTAATCAGCATTAGACTCATCAAACTCTTTCCAAATCATCTACACTGTCCTCAGATTGACACCCAAACACTCTGAAATGTTCATATTGGGCCTTCCGGCGCAAATGTCAAACAGTACAGCATACCAAATTTCTGGCAGAGTGAATTACATCCTGGTGTTCTTTTTCTCAAAGACGGTGCCCAACTGACCCTACTATACTGTGCAGTTGACAAAAACAAAAAATGTGCATATTCAAAATATAAAATGATGGCAATTTACACATCACACCCTGTATGTCTGAATTAATTAATATAGTAAGAGAAATTGTAAACATAGGTGATAAATTTGACTATCATTGACAGCAATGGGGGCTAATATATAAAAACTTGTAAATCCACATCAACCACAAGGATCTCGTTGAATAAATCTGCGTTTTTTTTAAGTTATTAATTATTCACATATTTTAAAATGGTTTATTATGAGTTATTTTACTAATGTACATGAATGTTCCATGGAATTTAGCTGCTAAATACAAGTTTATTTTGATTAAATTAGTTTTACTTCAAAATAAAGCATATACATTTAAAATTGCTATAATACAATTCGGAAACTTATCTATTCGTAAAAAATAAAATAAACTTTTTTTTCCCTCAAATGGTTATGAGGGTCCACAAAAAAAATTTACAGTAAAAGTAGTCCTTGGATAAAAAGAGATTGAAAACCATTAGGTTAACTGATTTTAGATACTAATTTATTTGGGGTTATTCAATGTCAAATCAGACTTTTTCATTATTTTTATATTATATAAAGCCTATATACTTAGATGCCTAAAAGATGTGGATGGTGCTTTTATTTTTCTTATGATATTTTCCACCCCACATGCTTATTAAGCCCCACCCTGTTTGTTAATTTTGCATTTTAGGAGTCTTTAAATGATTTCCCCAACCCCAAATTCATTCTCTTGCATAATGAGAAAAATTTCACCCCCATATTAAGCACATCTCTTACATTAAGTCACAAAAGAGTAAGCATTTATTTGGTTTAGGAATAGGAAAATATTGGACATTCCCATATGGGGTCGTAAATATTTACTTGGTTGATGGTACCTAGACTTTATGAATTTAAATACAGTACTAGATTGGCAGTAAGGTCTCATCATTTTACAGTTGAAATGGCTAGATGGAACTCTAAATTCTATGCTAACAGTTTCTTTAATAATAAAAAAAAGAAAAGTATAAAGAAACTGAATGGAATCAGCTAGACATGCCCAGCCATTTATAAAAGAAATCAAATGCCTTTTCTATAAATACTTTCATTGTAATTGTTGGACTGAACTCTTTGCTATCATACCTAGACTTTATGAATTTAAATACAGTACTAGATTGGCAGCAAGGTCTCATCATTTTACAGTTGAAATGGCTAAATGGAACTGTAAATTTATGCTAACAGTTTTTAATAATAAAAAAAAAAGTATAAAGAAACTGAATGGAATCAGCTAGACATGCCCAGCCATTTATAAAAGAAATCAAATGCCTTTTCTATAAATACTTTCATGGTAATTGTTTCTGAACTCTTTGCTATCATACCTAGACTTTATGAATTTAAATACAGTTATTAGATTGGCAAAGGTCTCATCATTTTACAGTTGAAATGGCTAAATGGAACTGTAAATTCTGCTAACAGTTTCTTTTAATAAAAAAAAGAAAAAGTATAAAGAAACTGAATGGAATCAGTTAGACATGCCCAGCCATTTAAAAAGAAATCAAATGCCTTTTTTCTATAAATACTTTCATGGTAATTGTTGGGCTGAACTCTTTGCTATCATACCTAGACTTTATGAATTTAAATACAGTACTAGATTGGCAGCAAGGTCTCATTTTACAGTTGAAATTCTTTAGATGGAACTTAAATTCTATGCTAACAATGTCAAAAAAAAAAAAAAAAAAAGTATAAAGAAACTGAATGGAATCAGCTAACATGCCCAGCCATTTATAAAAGAAATCAAATGCCTTTTCTAAAATACTTTCATGCCGGAAGTTCTATGCTAACAGTTTCTTTTCTTGCACCTCTTGCTTGTGGAACTCTCTTCTGGCTTCTAGCTTTCCAATTTGATCTTCAAAAATTTAAATGCTATATCAATCTTCTGAATTCTTAATTCCTTTCTTTTATTGTTCTCCATCTTTAATAATGCTTTATTTTTCTCAGATTTTCTCTCACTCAGTAGCCAACTTGTATATTACTGACTTTATTGTCTTGTTCAAGGTGAAATGATTAAAAAGAAAATGTACAAAAAAAAAGAAATAAAAAGAAAAGTTTAAATTCAAATTATTTAACAGGCTGCATGTCATTGAAGAGCCATATGTTGGACAACACTGATATGTTTGGGCCCATGAAAGAGGCACTTCACGGACAGTGGCTCTGCAGTGATGTTTGAGATGAAAGAGGTAACTTGCAACCAAGAAGCCGCTATATATCCTTATTTAAAAATTGAATCCCACAACTAACACATAAGGAGACTATGTTGAGAATTAGATTTGGAATCCCAAGACATTTTTTGGTTTATGCATGCCATTTTTGGTATTCTTTATATTTCCATTATTAAATCTATTATGTTGTTATTCCTTTGGCTAATGTTCAGATGAGCTAGATTCCTTAGTTCCATCAGTTCAGACCTTTACATCTAAGCCTCTCTCTAATCTATCGCTATTTCCATGGCAAATGTTCAGATGAGCTACATTCCTTAGTTCCACCAGTTCAGACCTTTACATCTAAGCCTCTCTCTAATCTATATCGCTATTTCCATGGCAAATGTTCAGACGAGCTCCTTTCCTTAGTTCCATCAGTTCAGACCTTTACATCTAAGCCTCTCTCTACTCTATCGCTACTTCCATGGCAAATGTTCAGACGAGCTCCTTTCCTTAGTTCCACCAGTTCAGACCTTTACATCTAAGCCTCTCTCTACTCTATCGCTACTTCCATGGCAAATGTTCAGACGAGCTACATTCCTTAGTTCCACCAGTTCAGACCTTTACATCTAAGCCTCTCTCTACTCTATCACTATTTCCATGGCAAATGTTCAGAAGAGCTACATTCCTTAGTTCCACCATTTCAGACCTTTACATCTAAGCCTCTCTCCACTATTTCCATGGCAAATGTTCAGAAGAGCTACATTCCTTAGTTCCACCAGTTCAGACCTTTACATTTAAGCCTCTCTCTACTATTTCCATGGCAAATGTTCAGAAGAGCTACATTCCTTAGTTCTACCAGTTCAGACCTTTACATTTAAGCCTCTCTCTACTCTATCGCTATTTCCATGGCAAATGTTCAGACAAGCTACATTTCTTAGTTCCACCAGTTCAGATCTTTACAGTTCAGACTTGCCATGCCATATACGCTGGGGTCATATCATCTTCATTTCCTACATATTCCATTGGTAAGGAGGAAGTTCTATTCAGCTTTCTCCTAAGAGCTGTTACTTGGTGGAACAGACTCACAAGAGGATGTTTCCCTCATCAACAGAGCTTACAGCCATACTACATTAAAAACACCAGTACTTGTACTACCACTGAAGTAAAGCAAGTCAAGCCTTGTCAGTAGCTCAATGGGAATACTGGGTGCCTGTAAGCTTGGATGTGTGGGTGGTGTAATGGATAATGGAATTGAAAATTGGAGAGCAGAGTTCCAATTACAGTTGGGTTAGTTATATTCACTCACACACAAATACTCTTGGAAAAAGGTATAAATCTACCTCTTTTCCCCTCCATCTATGGGTTAATTAGTAGGACTTGTATAAGTAAATCATTATTATCTCCATAAAAATTCTAACAATGTAAAAACATTTTCTGGCTTTTAATAACCTGCAAAGGGTTACTAAACCACAAAAACTAATCAATCAAACCTGATCAATAATCTTAACCTCTTTAAGTTTAGAGTCAACTGTTATCTATCCTACATATCCTCATAATCTACATTTACTTCCTCTCTTTATGCCCATATGCCAACCTCAATCAGTAATCATCTACCTTGAGTGGCACTTAGGCCTTGTATTTGATGAATGTTTAATTTTTTTTTAAATTTTGAAGATCGGTATTACTTTTTGACTGATCCTTGTCTACAACAGTGGGATGAAAAGTTCATAGGCTGACTATAAAGGAGTGATGCTAGAGCTGTGAAACATTGAATGCATTCATTTCAACTCTTCTTATCAATAACTGCATTGTTTCTTTCCAGGTAAACTGACATCTGACTGTTCAAAGAAAACTTCAAAAGTAACTAGTAGCGGGTTCTTTTGAAAATGAACAAAATTTAGCACTGTGGTGTTATCAAATACCTGCAGAAAAATTGTTTACACCGCTCAAGAACATTCATGCTGACATGGTTGCTACATTAAGGGATGATATTCCAGCTTTATCAACTGTGTAAAAGTGGGCAACTGAATCTAGGAAGGTATCTTGGTCAGCTTATGGACTTTTCAGCCGACCTGCATAAAAGCAAAATAACTTATATACAAAGGAAATACAAAAATTCTATTTTCATTCAAATTGCTTTGCTGGTTGCATGTCATCCAAGGGTCACGTCTTGGAGGAAACAAATACAAAGTATTTGAAATATTTATCATCTCACCTGTGGAACTGGAACCAAATCCAGGAAAGCCTTTGAACCCTGAAAAATTAGAATTTTCAATTAAATGCTAATAACAATTAGAATTAAGCAAATGAAAAGAACAAAACAACCGGTCTTGTCTTATCAATTTCATGTAATCAAAATGTTAGACAAGCCTAATAAAGGAAAACCATGATTTATGCTATTTCCATGAAGACTGTTGTCCTCATCTTTGTTGTTGTTATCACAACATTTTGGCCATTGTGCTCTCCAGCCTTTCTCAGGTGTATATCAATCTGGCTAAGCTACAGGGAATCCAAAACTGAACCAATTATTTAATCTATGGGGGTAGGCTGTTCTCATTCCACTGTCTTTGCCTCGGGATATCTCATCTAGTTCTTATTTTTTTTTAATACTGCTCAGTTACTGCCCGCCCTGTTTCCACTGAGTACACACTGCCTGACCCAGGAATTAAACTCCTAGTACTATTTCACCAAATCCACAAACCAATGATTTAATCCACTAGATTATCATGGTTCAGTTCAGAATTTCTTGCAGGTTACCCAGATCAATATACATTTGATGAAGGCCAGAGGACACAACAGCCAAAATAGCGTATGGGACAATAGTCTTAATATAGAGTAAATAATGATAATTCCTTATCCCAGAAAATCAGACAGAAACTGAAAACTAGAAACATACCAGTCAACGTCAGAAGAGTTATCAACTAAGATGTACATGGTTTGGCTATATACATATATATAATGTATAGAATTATATATGTATAAAATATGTCCTCTATTATCAATTCACATAACTATATTTTAAGAAATTTCTATGGGATGAACAACAAACCTGGTATTGAACCATCCTGTAATTGTAGATATAAAAAAATTGTCCAGTAGTGGGCAAATGCAACTCTACTAGGGTTATATATCAAGTAACCATTTCCCTCAAAGAAAATATGAAAAATGATAATGTTTACATTGGAATTTCTGCAAAGAATGGAAACAGCTTTTGTACCCATAGGCACTAAATTAAAACATCAGACAGATCTTTCAAAGAAATTTTGGGAATTAAAGGAGAAAGGCTTGAACCCACAGATAGATTGGAAGATTATAGTTTCTGCCCGTACTCCAAATAGTCTTAAAGAAAGGTGTGACTTATGTTTAGAAGAAAAAATTAGAACAATAAAATACAATAATGAAAGCCAACTATTGAATCAAAGGAATGAATTAGTATTAAAATGTCGACATAAAAACAAACTCAAATTTCCATATATTTCCTATATAGGTTTTACTTTATTAGCTACTATATTTCTCTAACTCTTCAAATTTCGAATGTATAACTAATTCTAGTTTCTATATTTCCATTTTTACACCCCAGTTAATTATATCATAATTCTCCCTTGTTCTAAGAACTTGCTTTCCTTTTATCACTTACATATCTTTATCTATATATTTTAGGGTTGCTTTTGAATATAACTTTGTACAACTTTATATTTTTAATTATAATTTGTTTTAGACTTAACTTATTTTTAAAGTTAAATTTTATTTTATTTATTTAATTATATTTTTTATTTTTAAATGTATAATTTATATATTCTAATTTTTTGTTAAACTCTTTTTTATTCCTCTCTTAGTTTCAAATTAACATTTTATTCTTCATATAACCCCAATTTAATGTCATAAGGTTAATATCCAGGATTAATTTTATAAAATCTCTTCCCTTTAAGGCTAATACCATCCATCCTCCCCTGACTCCTGTCTCATGCCTTTCATCTGACTAAGACATTGAAATTGATAAATTCTGTATTAGTTTTCAACTGGGTTTTATTTTGTAGCTTTCACAGTTAAATTTCTAATTCCAACACAAACCCAGTCTATATACCGGGGTTGAATAAGACTGATGCATTTTATTTTTTCCTGACTTGAAATAACCTTATTCCCCATATGAGGTGATTTTGGATTTTATTGGGTATTAATTTTTGCTCTCTAATAATACATTGAGCTCTTTTTGTGGATCAATTTTAATATTTTATATTACTAGGAGCCACCTGGATTATATGCCAACAGATCTATTACCTGTAATATATATATTATTTATCCATATTAATACATACATATATACATATATTAATATGGATCAATCAAATAACTAGATATCAGCAACAGTATATAAGTGCATTAGCAAATAAATATCTACTCAATTTAATATAAGGTGTAAACTAAACAGTGACCAATGTGGTTAGACAGAGCTAACAAGTATATATTAATAAATATACATATAGCTATGTTCAAAGTGCTACTTAAAGTTTTATTGTTCTACCATGCATGTGTGTATATATATATATATATATATATATATATATATATATATATAAACTATAAATTAAGTTTCTAAATAATAAAAATCTATTAAACAATAGACATGAGTTAACAGTTTTTTTGCTGACATCAAATTTTTGCAATGAATAATTAGCATAAAAACAAACAAACAATAAAATAATTTTTATAATCCATAGCCCTAATAAATAGTTTAAATACCCTACAAAAAAAGATAACCCTTTATGAAGTCGTCAAAAAACAAATGTTACAGCAGTTTTTTTATATACACAAAACCCTTTCAGAAAGAAATAAAATAAAAAAATAAATAAATCTCCATAGACACATAAACCAGACTAGGCGAAATCATCTTCCGTTTTAAATTTAGACACCCCAACCTTACCCTGACATGACATCTATGAATGTAACTCTATACTGATACAAATTATTAACACCTTACACCCCTTCCTATTTCAACAATCGCTCTGGCCGTTACAATGGAAATTTTGATTTCAATAATGAATATGCTATTAAAACACGTAAATTTCAGAAATAAGTTATTCCAAAAAAAATTTTGCTTAAAGATGGAACAGAGCTTACTTTAATTCAATTTAATTCAAATAATTATATTGAAGTTTTCGGCTCTTGTTTTGAAACATGAGACCTCTTACATAGCATGTTGGAATCATATTTTTAAATAAATAATTATATATATATATATATAAAAAGAAGGACTTACATTAGGCAAAATATTTTGTCCTAGGAGGGACTATATATTGCCTTGATAAATAAAGCCCCCCGCCCAGGGGATGAAACATGTTGGCTAAGATAAGTTTTCCTTTTGTCTTTATTCATATTGTCCTTTTACAGATATATTCTATCTGAAAATATATATATATATATATATATATATATATATATATATATATATATATATATATATATATATGATTAATAAATATAAAATTTGTCATTTAGCTGATTGGTGTTATATTCAGCACTCTGATTCTTTTTGTAACCATTCAGCCCACTCATCAGGAGATATTAGCAATTGTCTGCCAATTTTTTATTTTCATTATTTTTATAAGAAAAAAATAATTTATGCACTTTTTATTATTGGCATCAGGTAGATATTTTTCTTCTTTGTAAAATGTCATGGTTATTTCTTTTTTCATCATTTTCTTCTCTCTCTCGGCTCTGTGTGTTTTAAGGTATCCTGTATTTATGAGTAAAAGTGTTCAATATCTGGGATAGAACATCTCTAAATATAAGAGCGGACACTGAGGTCAAAACCGAGCAGCGACAATCTGTTTCATTCTTGAATGCAATCTTCAGGCTCAAAGCTCGTTTGCTTTCCCCAATTCCTTCTTGCTTAAAAAAATAAATATCTCCCTGGAAAGGAAGTACCATAATCATCAGAGACATATATTAAATGTACAGGTAGGTTAATGGTTAGTGATTAAAAACCAGAAAACAGCGAACTGAGTTTGAATTCTGGCCAAGTTCGTTATGCTCACTTTCACACCAAAATATCAATGGCCAAGATATGAATTCTTTTCTTCTCCCCTCCAATTATGGATTAGACAATAGGGTAAGATGGTTACACAGGTGGATGCAGATGCTGTGTCCATAAAACAAAACAATAAATTTCAACAACTATGGATGATCCCACTGAAGAGCAACCATTGACACCAACAAAGTGGATGGATGAATGAACATCTTACACATTCAGATCACTCTTCACTATAAATATAATTCATTCTTGCTATTTACCTTGAGCTCCTTGATAAAATCCAAAGAAGAATCAGCAATATTATTGGTCCTGATCTGGCATCTCGGCTTCAGTCACTTTCCTCACCATCGTAAGGTTGCGTCCCTGTGCCTTTTCTATAAAGACTTTCATGGCAATTGTTCAGATGAGCTCTTCACTGTGGTACCTAGACATTTTTAATTTAAGCGCAGTGCTAGACTGGTGTCGAGATCTTATCAATTTACAGTTGAGTTGGCTAGATGTAGTCGTAAGTTCTATACTAACAGTTTCTTTTCTCACACTTCTTGAACTTCCTTCTGGCTCCATGCTTTCCAGCCAACTTTAATCTGTAAAAATTTAAATGCAATGTCAATCACTATCTACTGTCCTCCTGATTACTCTTTCCTCTTCCCACCCATTTTTAATGTTTCTGTTCCTAATTCTTCCACACCTTGTAACCCCTTGTGTCTTAGTGGCTTTACTGCCTTGCATGGAGTGATACCTACTAAAAAGAAAAAAAAAAGAAAATACACCGAAATAAGAGAGTCGGACAGTAGAGAGAGAACATTATCTTTCTATGATGGATATAAAGCTTACAGCTGGGAAAACAGCAAGCAAGGTTTACTTTTTATATTTCACCCCAAGCAAGGTAATAAAGCCACTAGGATGCCAGGGTTTACTGAGTGTGAAAGAATATGACCTAAAAACATTATTAAGTAGAGAGCACAGTAAAAGAACAAGAATTGACATTGCATTTAAATGTTTGAAGATCAAAATTGATTGAAAAACCAGAAGCCCAAAGTGAGTACCATGAGTAAGAAGTGCAAGACAAGAAACTATTAGTATACAACTTATGGTTACATTTAGCAATTTCAACTCTAAAATGATGAGACCTAGCTGCCAATCAAGTACTGCGCTTACATTGTAAAGACTAACTACCAAAGAGAAAAGCTCATCAAAACGATTACCATGAAAATATTAATAGA